CTAGTAATTTCAAAAGACACACTAGGATTAATATTGAAGGTGGGATGAAAGATCTTTCAGTTATTTGGAGTTGAGAGGACACGGGAAGAGAGCCTTGGAAAGTGGCCTCATCAGAGGTGTTACCTGTGCCCCACAAGAGTGAGAACAGGAAGGTGGAGTGCATGGCTGAGATCTCCAGAGCAGAGAAGCAGAGGTATGTTTCCATGGCCCTGGAATGGGTCACAACATGGCCAAAAGTTCTATGTCCTAAAGAGGGCACTAAGTCGGGCAATAGAGACCTATCAAGCCCACGCCTAGTAATTGCAGGGTCTGGGACAAGGGCATAAATGGAAACCTACCTACTGAAATATTTGGAAGTTAGAAGTCAAACTAACCACTGTCAAATAACATATGATCTATGCTTGTGCTCGACAAATATGCTTTTATAACAACCGAGGAGGCCAGGATGAACTTAAGAGTTCTACACTTATACATGGAGGTGGTGGAGCCTGAGTCCCAAGTCCCGGCCTCTGGTCCACCCCCTTCCTCCACGTCCCGCACATACATGGACACCTCACCCACATGTCCAAGCTTTGCCCATGGTCCTGCCAACAGCCGTCCCTTGGTCACCCTCAGGCATCAGGCTGAGTACACCAGAGGCAGTTTGCCTTTCTTTAGGAGGGTCACTTGGTTAAGAAGCCAGCACTCAAGAAATGGAAATGGACTTAGGAGCATTTAGATGGGGACATATGTGGTCTTGGCTATGGAGAGTGTATGCTAGAAGAGGGAGGGGCTGGAGCTCTGGATGGGCACTGCCTGAGGGGGGCTGGAGCAGGGCTCTAGAACATGCTAGGGTGTAAGGACAGGACAGGTCCTTCTGTGGATGAGGGAAGGCCTCAGCAGAAGTCAGAATGGACTGTATGGCTGTGAGATAGGACTCGGGATGCTTCTGTAGATGCTTGTGTGTCTGTCCAAGAGAAATGGCTCCAAGGATCAGTTGTTCCCTCAGCTCACCCCATTCTATCTATGCCATGATTCTTTGAGAACTTCCTAGAAATGAAATGACACCTTAGCAAGAACTAGGGAGGAAGAGAAGAACACTGACCCCTTGAATTTACCCCAAAGAAATTGAGGAAAAACTCTGAGGTGATTGGGTTTACCAAGATTTGATTGGCAAACCACAGCTGGAAAGAGAAATTAAGTTCAGGTATGGAAAGTCAAAGTCACTTTTTTTTTTTTTTTTTGCACACCCGAGTCTTGTGCACTGAAAATTTCATACCTCATACAGATCATAATAGTGCTGCTTAGGGACACTATGGTTTCAAGATCCATCTACTTTTTAGAATATGTTGACACAGTGCATGCTCATCTCATCACTGGGACAGGGGAGGAAGTTCAGAACTCTGGTCTAAGTAGAATGTGGGCCGGTGGGGGATTGGAGGAAGATGGAGAGAGAGGGAGGAAGAAAGGGGACCGTGACTGTATTACAAATAGCTCACCCAAAGGATGCCTTCAACCCAGGAGTTCTCCGAATCATCAGAAGATGATTTTGCTATTAAAATGTATATGTTATTTCAAAATTTCCAGGCCTTAGACATGAACAAAAATTGGATTTCCCAGGATGCTATGAAACAAGACAATGTTCACAAAAGACTAACCCTGCTATGGGGCACCTGGTGGCTCAGTTGGTTAAGCGTCTGCCTTTGGCCCGTGTGGGGCTCTCTGCTCAGTGGGGAGCCTGCTTCTCCCTCTCCCTCTGCCCCTGCTCGTGTGCTATCAAAAAGTATGTACTGGGGTACCTGGCTGGCTCAATCAGTAGAACATGAGACTCTTGATCTCAGGGTCATGAATTCAAGCCTCCCATTGGGCATGGAGCCTACTTAAACAATAAAATAAAAAAAATAAATAAAGTAATTTTTAAAAAAATGTATGATTTACTATTATAAACAAAAAATCATATATATGTTTAGCAAAAAATGTAGAATATTAATAGTGCAGGTGTATCTGAATGATGAATTTATTTTCATCTTCATGTTTTCCTGTGTTTTTTTATTTTGATAAGCAACCCCCTCAAAACCCCCAAAACTTCTGTGATTTCTCTATATTAAGCAATCCTTGCCTCTTTTAAAACTTAATAGAAGCAGCCTTATTCACAATGGCCAAAAAATGGAAACAACTCAAATGTCCATTAACTGGTAAATGGATAAACAAAATACGGTACATCCATGCAGCGGGATACTATTCATCAGTAAAAGGGAATGAGTACAGATGCATGTTATAGCAGGAAGGAACCCCAAAAACAGGCCACGCAAAAGAAGCCAACCATGAAAGACTACTTATTGTCTGGTCCCATTTATTCGAAATGTGCACAAAAGGCAAATCTTGTGAGACAAAGTAAATTATCTGTTGTTTGCAACTCCCAGTGGGAACAAGGGTTAACCGTGAATGTGCAGGGAGATTTTACTGAGACCATGGAAATATTCTGCCACTGGACGATGGTGAGGATTGCACAACTCAATAGTACAAATCACTGAAGATCACACCTAAGACAGAGTGGGTATTATGAAATTTAAGTTAGACCCCCATAAAGTTGTTTAAAAGCCGTGATGGAGGATTTGGTGAAAGCTCAGAGATAGGTGTAGAGAGTCTGTCCAGTTCGGTTTCTAATGTGAAGGAAGGAAATGAGGTAACAATGTTAGATGCTTTACAACTATAAATTAAAGCAGCTGGCTTGAAACGCTACCGAGGCTGTCGGGACCTATTAGGATGGATTTCCTGTGGCACTTCTGATGCCAGAGCAGAAAGCTTATTTGGATTTAGACGCAAAGCAGGGCTCCCATTTTCCTAACCAACTGTGGGTTCCTGGAGGAAAGAGACCACACCCTAGCCTTGGAATGAACTCCTATACCACCCAGCTACGTGACCCTCCTGAAATCACTTGTTTCTCTAGGTTTAAGCTTCCTGGTTTGTAAGAAAGAAAAGAAAAAAAAAAAAAAAAAAGAACTGAGTTGTACTAGATGGTTTTCATAGCCTTGTTCAGCTGAGAAGTTATTTTTCTTGGCACTTACCACCCTCACCAAACAGCCCTAGACTCTTTTCCAAGGCTAACTCTTAGTTGCTTCAGTTCTTGCAGTCTTCATATCAGATAAGGTGACCTGGTTCTACACTATTTATCTGCACTTTTTCTCCCTGGAGCCTTTGCTCAGGCCGCAGACTTTGTTATCAGAAATGAGATGTTTCTAATTGTTCCAACCCCAAGCATTTCTCTATCTCTGGATCTCCCTGACTTAATCTGTACACTCTTTGTTGTCTTTCACTGTTGTTCCATGTATCAGTTGCTGCATTGCAAACCTCCTCAAAACCTAATGACTTAAAATAGCAACCATTTTATTTTGCTAACGGTTGTGTGAATTAGGAATGAGGGTAAGCACCCTGGGGATGGCTTATCGCTTCTCTCACACGGCCACAGGCATGGCGGCGTCAGCTGGGGTTTCTCAAAGGATTGGAGGTGGCTGGGATGGGGCCATAAGCCTGGCGCCTTGTTTCTGGCAGATGGCTAGATTCCCTGGTTTCCATGTGGAGTCTGCTGGGACTCCAATGTCCAAGATGGTGGCTTCTTCACTCCTGTGAATGGTGCCTGGGCTGGGATGGCTGAGGCAGCTGGGGCTGGCCACACAGCCTCTCCATGTGGCTAGGCTGGGATTCCCCACAGCAATGGTGGTCTCAGGGTAGTTGGATTTCTGACACTCTGGCTAGCTTTCCACAGAGCCTATGTTGCAAGAGTGCAAAGTAGAAGTGGCAAAGCCTTTTATGACTGGGCCTTACGAAGTCACATAGTGTCACCTCTGCTGCATTCTCTTGGCTACCCAGGGCCAACCCCGATTCACTGTGGGAAAGGACCAAACAAGGGCATGATTATTGGGAGTGGTGGTTCATTGTGGGAGGAGGCATCTTTCGAAACTGGCTATCACAATTGCTAATCCTTCTGTGTTTTTTATTTTCTTAACTAAAGTCTAAATTATTTGAAGTTTGGAATCACGTCTTTCACCTTTTATTATCTCCACTCACTTTGTCCCTCTTCCCAGAGCATCAAGAACAGAAACACGTGGTTTATAGACTGGGCTGGAGGCAGGACAAGCTCAGGGGGCCCAATCCTGGCTGTGTCACTTATAAGCCATGGGACTTGGGCAGTCACTCAACCTCAAGTCCAAGTTTCCTCATCTATAAAATATTGCTGATGATAGAAAAGCTTTTTTCTTCATAGAGCTGATAAGGGGATGAAATCACTTGGAAAAATAGCGAGTATACAATAAGCAACCAATAAATACCAGCTATTCCTGTTGACTAAATGTGGACCACCAACTTATGATAATTGGGAACGGCGCTGCCCAGGGGAAAAGGGAAAAACTCAAGCATTATTTTCCAGAATGAAAAAAAATTACATTAATTATGATAATGGAGGCAACTGGCTCCACCATGTCTATTCAGATTCTTTACCATTGCCTGGAGACTTCTGATGCCATGAAGACCTAGGTTGAAGTTTGCTTGTTTCTTTTTGTTTCTTTATGTCTTATCTAAAGATCTAGTTGGCTATAAATTATGATTTTAAAAATCATAAAATCATAATAAATGGTTGCTAAATATTGAAATGATCAAGAAAAACAAGTATAGGTAAACAAAACCCATAAAGGGAAAAAATTACGTGAAACAAAAAAAATGTCGTAGGAAAAGAAGTGTAAATCAATTGAGGGGTGAAGGAACGCTTAACAGAGAATATACACAACCAGAGAGCAGAATGAAGGAAAGCAAAAGGAGAAGATTGAAAGAAGGATCCAAGGCTAAGTCTTGATTACGTACCAATGACAATAACATAATTACTACCCACATTTTAAACTCTAGGGCATCTTGTTGAAAGGATTTATCCTTATTCAGGAAGAAAAGTGACTAATGTGAACTCTTCTGGGAAAACAATATAAAACAATCCAGTTATGTCATTTTAACTTTATAGAGAAGTGTCTGTAATGAGTTTACAATACATATAATCAACAGAAATTGTTTCAAATTGCAGGGGAAACTATTTTTCTCTTGCTTAGAGCTCATAGTTTTATTGACCATTTTCTTCACAAGATTGGTTTTCTTCTCAGTGGCTGCAATAATCAAAAGGCATTCGGAAAGACAGAGAGCCCCAGCAACAGTTTTTGTTTTGTTTTGTTTTGTTTTTGAAGACAGGCAAAATCAAGGTGGTAAGACCCCTCAGTGAAGACATGCCAGGAAAGGACCCTGCAGAAAAATCAAGAAAGAGGTCATTGAGTTCATTTTGGGGATTTCGGTATTGAGAGGAAAGTGGGCATCCCAATCTATTTGGAAGGATAGACCTGTGTCACAAATGGCATCTTAAATTGGGGCTCTAGGAAACAGAGTTTTCAGAAGGACAGTTGAGACAATTGAGTGCAGATGTTTTTGGGGGGATGCTCTTGGGCACTACACCTGTAAGAAGGGGAAGGTGGGACTGGACAGAGGCCAACAATGCAGTTGCAACCAAGGCCTCTGTCAGTTCTGTGGGTAGTTCTGGAGTGGGGATGGCTTTCAAAGTTGTCCCATATAAGGCAGGATGTATCAGGAATTAGCCTTCTGGAAAGTGCCTTGTACAAGGCACTTCTCTGCTGTCAAAGGCAGGCCCCTGTGAGGGACACAGCTGTGAGCCATCAGCAGCCTAGATTCCCAGCATCCATGGGTGATCCAAATCTTCTGATTGTTTTCTAGTCATGCACGGAACCCCTTTATAATTGAGATATTACATACAATAAAGCACACAAATCTCAAGTATACAGCTCTATGAATTTTTACATATGTGTATATTCATGTAATCCCCACCAAAATCCTGATACAGACTACATGTTCATCACCCAGCAGGTTTTCTCATACCTCCTCCCAGTCAATAATCACCTTCACAAAGGTAATCACTATTTTCACATCTATGGCCATACAATAGTTTTGCCCCTTTTGAACTTCATAAAAATGTTAATATATTGTATAAACTCTTTGGGATCTGGCCTTTTTGACTTAACGTGCCTATGTGACTTATGCATGTTGTGTATAGCAGGAGTTCATTCCTTCTTATTGCTGTGCACCAGTCCTGAGTGAATATACCACAATCTGTCTATTGTACTCTTGATGGGCACTTGAATTGTATCCAGTTTGGGCTATTATGAATAATGCATTTATGAACATTCCGGTACACATCTCTTGATGGATGATTACCACTCATTTCTGTTATATATCAAAGAGAGGAATTACAGGGTGTTAGGACATACACATGTTTAACTTTATTAGTGTATACTGCCAAACAATTTTTAAAGGTGGTTGTGCCAATGTACAATCCCACCACAATCTTTGATGCCAAAAGAGGCGCATTTAGGTCATTTCTGCACAAAGGACTAAAAACACATTCACTCTGAATTAAAGAAAAGATTAGTTAGGTTAATCATAACTAGATTATGAGAACTTAAAAAAAAGTAACATTAAAAACTTGTCATGTATTTTTGGTAGACATTGTAGATACTTTCCTCCAGCAATTCTGCAGAAGTATAAAGAATGTGAAGGAAGGAGTTTCTCAAGGTGAGCTCATGGGTCAGGTGCCCTAGATTTATTTCCTGAAGCAGAGCCTGAGACAAAGATTTGAATGCATGTGATTTATCCAAGGGGCATTTATAGGAGAAACCTGTAAGGAAGGAAGTGAAGAAGGACAGGGAAAGGGAAAGAACTGAGCAAGGGTGTGGGCTTGGAGAAAAGTACTCTTGGCCTGATCCCATAAGGAACTCTGGAGCATAAGCCATGCTGGAGTCATCTGCTCCTTTAAGGCAGTCTCTCTACCCCAGATCAGTTTTTACGGTTGTGGGACTGGATGGCAGGGTGGTGGTGGTGGTAATTACTTCTTGGAGCCTCCAATCAATCTAGGGCAGTCATTTTAAACTGTGAGCAATTCTGTCCCCTAAGAAACATTTGGAAAGTCTGGGGAGATATTTGTGGTTGTCACAACAGCAGGGCTGGTACTGGTGTTGGGAAGTTGGACGCCACGATGTTGCTAAACATCTTACAATGCACAGGACAGCCCCTCACAACAAAGAATTATCTCTCAGAGATACTTGGGATGGAGAAACAATGGACTAGGGCAATTCTTTGAAGAAGGAGTCAAGGGCAAGCCATTAACAACACTTGCTGCTAGTGACAGATGGGTTCCCTGTTTCCATAAAGGGCACCTGGGTAGGGCAACAAAACAACACCTTCTGTAGACGTCTTTTAGACATATGATGTTAAACAATGAAGGAAGCTTGAACTGCTCTTTGGTTAGAATTCCTATGTGATCTGCATTTCATCTAATGGGATGGGACTAGTATCTTGAAATATATGTTGCTAAACCCTTAGCTACATCCCACACAAAAATGTTGCAAGAAGTTTACTGGTGTCAGCTGCAGGCATTTTAGATTTTCTTCAGAGCTTTCCCGGGCTTGTAGAAAATTGGAATTGGCCTAATCCTACCTGAAATACCCATTACTGTGCTAGGTTATTGCCAGTGCTATGCTCCTTGAACAACGTAACTTGAATGGGCTCTAGGATTGGTGCAAGGATCAGAAAGAGTTGTGCTTAACTATAAAGGGGTTTAAAAACATTGAAGACTCATGGTCTGCTCTGTCTATATCCTGTTGGGCCCACCCCTTAAGCCTCTTTTACAATCCAGTATTCATTTTTAAGTTATCCAAGTATTCATCCAAGCCCTCTTGGAAGCAGTTTATAACTGGGAATTGCAAAACTTAGGATGTCTATTGTATCTACTATTGTTATATAAAAGAATAATTTTTTTTTGAACTTCCAAATGTTTTATCTGGTTTGTATTCTAACTTTTGTGTTTTTATTCTGGGGTTATGATCTATGTTTATGATTCTACTATTGGGTTCATCTTTTTTTTCCTCTCTCAAAACCAATCATCCCTTTGTTCATTTTTTAAGTGTTACAATACTAACACAGATAAATAAGAAGGGTACAGTTACAGTACAATATTCTTGACCAAAAAATTAGCCAAATGGAAATATTGTAGTGCAATGTTAGGTGAAAAAAGTAAAGATATAGAATATGATATCATTTTTGTTTAAAAATCTTTCTATATTTTGCTGAATAGAGTAAGAGTCTGAAAATAGGTACACCAAAGTATTAACAGTGGTTAAGGTACAGTTTGCAAGTTCTGTGTAAGAACCCACCACTTCCCAAAAATGGCTCAGATAATGAACTAGAGCTATAAGTAGCTTTTTAAGGAAGCTATTTCCAGTGCAAGTTAAAACTCTGTTCTTTGTGATAACATTGTCTTAATCGCCTATATGAATGCCACCTTCTGGAAACAAGGAGCATTTCAGCACTAAAAGAATGCTGTAACAATAGAATTTTGTCATAAGGCTGAAATTGGAACTGCTTATAGAAAATATATTTTTTAAATTTATTTTAACACTTAATTTTGAACCTTGCAGATCACAATCAAATTTGTTAGAGGATGGGCTAATTTAATATAATCAGAGATGGCAGATTATATACACGGCCTCAATAAGGTGCCCAAGGAAAAAACTGTTTTTAAAACACTGAAAGGGTTTCCAAAAATAAGCCTGAAGGAAAAAGAAAAATGAAAACAAACAAATACTGTAGCCTTTGAATGGCTCAAAAAATGATGAAAAAATTCATTCCTGTTTGATTTTCCTCTACAACAGAGTTAACATGAAATGTTGAAATAATGTATTTTCAAGCAATGTCTATATCTAGACATGAAACTCAACTGACTCAACTCAACATGATCCATAAGTCAATATACATAGGTCTAAAAAATTACCAAAGTAAAAAAATAAAATAATGTAGATTTACATCTATAGTGTGATAATGTGCTCATGCACACACAGACGTAAAGTAACAGGGTACCTAGAAATGTATATAGACATATAAAATGTTCCTCTGAAACTAATAATACCTTATATGTTAATTAATTGACTTTAAATAAAAAATAAAATAGCTATTATTAATATGTTAAATCAAAAACGTATGCAAGTGTATCTAGAGGGATTAACTTTGGGGAAGTGGAAAAGGGGACAAAAGTTAGATGGCAGTCAAGGGAAACTTATCTGTAATATTCTGTTTTCTTAAAAAGAAAACGTATTTAACTTGTGTAATTTGCCACTAATTAGAAACACAAAAATAAAATGAACTATTGCCTAAAATAAAACAACAGATCCCTGTTATATAGTTGCAATGGTCAATATTCTGTGATATAGCAGATGCAATGTATGTTTCTTAAAATAGCAGCAGTGAACCTATAGTCTGTTTATCTGTATTGCAATCCTGTGTGTATGCGTGTGGCCAAATACAGAGTAAAATATCTAGGAAGTACACAGCTCTACTTTGTAAAGTGCTTTCCCTTACAGTATCCTCGTGGATGGCATAGCTTCAGTCTCAGTTATTTCTTTGGCATTAATAATTTAAAAATATTAATGCTTGTGACTACAGGAATGAGGTCCCCGGATAGAAGTAAAGATTCCTTCTAGACAAGCTAATTTGAAATGATCCATCCAAAGGCATATCTCAAGGGACCGCTTGAGAGCTTTGCTAATTCCAAGTTTGCACCAATTCATTTTCAATATTGAACACCTATTATTTGTAAGGCTCAGTACGGTCTAAAGCAGGATGGCTTGGACTCAGAATGTGGAACAGTTGGGTAGGTGGTAATATTGGAAGGAGTGAACTCTATAGTATTTTAGAGCCTGGGCCCAGGAATCAGACTCAGTCTGGTTTCAATTCCCATTGCACAATTCACAGCTGTGTGCTCCTGTGCAATCCTGGGGATAGAGAATGCCTACTTCAAAGAGCTGTCAGGAGGGAAAAAGGAAATCATTATAAAGGATTTGGCACAGTGCCGGCACATAGCAACCATTCAATTAATTCAATTAATCCTTCTGCTACCCAGGAAATAGATGAACGTTTAAAGAGTACTCTTTCAATTGTTTCACACATAACCTCTTATTTTGTGTTTATCAGAGCTCCCAGAGTTAAGCAGATTGCTTTTTATTTTGAAATTTTTGTTTTACTTGCTCCTGCTGATGTTTGCCCGAGTCCTAACTAATTTTCAAGATTCATAAAAATTGGAGGTCAAAAAGGCTTTTGAAGTGATCTGGTCCACTCACTACCCCAGAGATAACTCTCACCCCTTTTCCATTGACATTTAAAACCAGGAGGTAAATAGTATTTCCTGATTACTCTAGTTTCTGGTGGAGTAACAGGAGACACAATGAGAGGAAGGAAGGCTAAGGGAATATGTAGGGAAAGAGGGAGATGAGTGGGACCGGCACTGGGAGAATCTGAGGAGCATAGACTGAAGTGTATGGAGAAATGTGAGAAAAGGCAAGAAGGGGTACGGAGGGACGGCAGTTTGTCAATGCAGGCGCTAACAGAGTTTAAAGATCAGACGTTCTGGGTTCTGATAATTTTAAGATGCATGATTATAAGGTATAATACTTAACCTCTCTTGAGTCGTCCTCTTCGGAGTTCATAGTGCAGATTAAATGAGGTTAGTGGACTGGACGCTCTGTAAATGAGAATACTCAAATAAGGAATTCGGGAGGGGAGAGAAAGTAGCAGAAAAAGAGAGGGAGAGGGAAAGGAAGGGGAAGAGAAAAAGGCAGAGAAAGACGGGGGGGGGGGGGAGGAGAAAGGGGATTTGTGACAAGGCAGGTGAGAACTAAGGAAAACCGCAGTAACGACGCTGCTGTGGCTACTGCGGTGACTGCTTCCACACATGGAGCGTTGACAACTTGCCAGGTACATTGTTAGAGCTTTACTTGCATTTCATGTTATCTTCACATCTCTATGGGGCTAGTATTATTGTCATTTTATTTTATTTTAAGATTTATTTATTTATTTGAGAGAACGAGAATGAGAGAGAGAAGGGGAAAGAAAGAGAGAGAGAGAGAGAGAGAGAGAGAGAGAGAGAGAGAGAGAGAGAGTGTACATGAGAGGGGGTTGGGTCAGAGGGAGAAGCAGGCTCCTCGCTGAGCAGGAAGCCCGATGCGGGACTTGATCCCGTGACTCCGGGATCATGACCTGAGCCGAAGGCAGTCGCTCAACCAACTGAGCCACCCCGGCGCCCCGTATTATTGTCATTTTAAAGAAGAATTATCTGAAACATAGATTTTTTAATTTTCCCCGCTGAGAGGTGGCCGAGAAGGGATTCCAACGCAGGTTTTCTACCTGCAAAGCCAATGCTTGTTAAAAATCATCTCTTAGGATCTCCAAACAGGCTTAATGGGTCTAAAGAGGGTTCTTGTCCGGGTTTTTCCAAGTTATGCCCTTGGTTCAATTCCTGTGGTCGGAGTCCCACGCTCCACGCCCTTTCTCCACTAACAGCGTCTAGTCTCCATGGAGATCGGCGTGGGGCGGGACTTCCTGCCCCACGCAGGAGCACTTCCGTCTCGAGCCGGAAGCGCCCTGGCTAGCCGGCTGGGTCCTGGCGCGTGGGGACTTGCTGTAGAATTTGAGTGGCGGGACCGCGGCGGCCGTGAGTGTGAGCGGCTCGGGCACCCCAGTCCCGCGCAGCCATGCTGACCCCCGCGTTCGACCTCAGCCAGGACCCCGACTTCCTGACCGTCGCCATCCGCGTGCCCTACGCCCGGGTCTCTGAGTTCGACGTTTATTTCGAGGGGGTCGACTTCAAGTTCTACGCCAAGCCGTACTTTCTCAGGCGAGTTCCTGCTGTCCGGCCTTGGAAAGAGCGAATTTAGGGGATTGATTCGTTGATTGGTTCATTCATTTTTCATTTACTCATTAGATAGCTGCTTACCGAGGAAGGAGGAAAGAGCGAGGGAGCACTTCTCGATTTAACGATTGCCTTTTCCCGAGATGGCCGCAGGTGCTTTTGGTGCTGAGGAAGCGACCTCGACAGGCCCGCATTCCAGATGCTGCAGGAAGCTCGTTTCCGTCTTAAACTTTGTTAAATCCCCAACGTAAAGAGATTTCGAACCCCGGTAAAACGTGGCGTTTGGAACCTTGTAACCTTTGCAGGTTCTGTCCCGTCAGCCTGGTTCCCGTACCTTGTTTCTGTTGTTTTCGTCCTGCGGTGGTTCTCCCAGCCTCTCCGCTGCCCTGGGACGGTGCGCACTGACTTCCCAGCCGACCGGTCCGTTTGACTTTTCTCATTCCCCGTTCTTTTTAGAGTTGTGTCGACCTCTTGGCTGACCGCTCCCTACTTCTTGATAGTCCCTCCTTCCTTTGACTTCGTTGACACCAAATTAACCTCGTTCTCCTACCTTTTCCTCGTCTGCTACTTCTCTCATTTTGCCCTTTAATTGTGGTGGTTGTCCATGTGCTTTCCTAATAAAAGCTGCCTCTTGAGTCAAGCTGGTTCCTTCACTGGGCCTGGACCAGTTTTACTCAGATTTCCATTAGGCCCTGACTTAATGCACCTACTTGCATATACTGCGCTTTCCTATTTTTTTAAATCTTTTTTTTTTTTTTTTTTTTACTTTATTTGTATCGGGCTGGGTTTTTGGTATCGCGGATGTGGTGATGTCTCGTGTAGTTTATATTCTAGTGGGGAGAGAACAATAAATGAACAAGTAAACATATAACTACAGTTGTGGTAAGTGCTCTCTGAAGGTGAGTAAAGTGGACTGATAGAAAATAAAAGGGAGCCTGTTGAAACGTAAGGTGGCCTGAGAAAGACATTCTGAAGAAGGTGATATTTAAGGCAAGACAGGAAGAGTGGGAGGAAGATGGTGTGGGTGGTAGCGAACATTTACTGAATTTTTAGTTCAGGTTTATACTTTATGTGGATTATCTCATTTGATTTTAGGACAGTACTACAAAGTAGTTTCTGTTAATGTTGCAGATGAGGGATCAGAGCCCAGAGAAAAGATCTTAAATGAGATAGGAATGTAAAATAAAAAATACAATAACAGAAATTTCAGTAAAAGTAAAAACCACTTTGCTTAATTTTGGGAGTTTTGATGAAGACCAAATAAGAGGTTATGTGTGAAACAATTTAGAGTATTCTTCACACGGACTCATCCGTTCCTTGGGTAGCAGGGGCTTGGTAGTTGGGCACACCTGGGTCTCAGCACACTTAATAGTTCTAGGACTTAGGGCAAGTTATTCAGCCTCAGTTTCCTAATTTGTAAAATGGGACTGATATTAGGGATTCTAAAGAGTTGATGTGAGGATTGAGATCATACATGCATAGTTTTTATTACCATGCCTGGTGATTGCCCAGGCAATCAGTTGTTCAATAAACAGTAGATATTTATTAGAAGGGCCTTCTGTTCCAGTTATCTGTTGCTGCATAACCAATCGAACTTAATGTTATAAAACAACAATTATTTAACTCCCTCGTCCTGGTTGTGTGTCGGGAATTTGGTAAGGGCTGGCCTGGGCTGTTCTGACTTGAGATCTTTAAATCACTTGTAGTCATATGGTGGCTGGGAGGAGTGATGTGAGACAGGCCATCATATAGTGGAGTGGCTGGGGGAGGGCGTCTCTTTTCGTGTACTCTCAGGACCGCCCGATGTAGTGTCTTTGCATGTTCTAGTTGTGATTCCTTTGGGAATCACAGGTGGAGCTGAAGGTTTCAAAGCCAGATATTCCTGGGGGAAAGGCAGGTTCATATCACCTTTTATGACCTAACCTCAGAAATCATACGGTCACTTCTACTTTATTGTATTGGTTAAAACAGTTCCACAAGGCCACTCAGTTTTTTTAAAAAACTAATTAATTTTTATTTTAATTCCAGTATATTTAATATATAGTGTTATATTAATTTCAGGTTTACAGTATATGTGATTCACCAATTCCGTACATTACTTAGTGCTCATCATGATAAATGTACTCTTTAATCCCCATCACCTATGTCATCCATCCCCCCCACCCACCTCCCCTCTGGTAACCATGAGTTTGTTCTCTGTAGTTAAGAGTCTGTTCTTTAGGGGCCCCTGGGTGGCTCAGTCCGTTGGTCGGCCAGCCCTTGATTTGGGCTCAGGTCATGCTCTCAGGGTTCTGGGATCAAGCCCTGTGTCTGGCTCCCTGCTCTTTGGGGAGTCCGCTTGTCTCTGTCTCCCTCTGCCACACCTTGCTCTTGCTCTCTCGCTTGTGCTCTCTCTCTCAAATAAATAAATCTTAAAAAAAAGTCTGTTCTTTGATTTGTCTCTTTCCCCCCCTCTTTGTTAGGTTTCTTAAATTCTACATATGAGTGAAATATGCTATTTGTCTTTCCCTGACTGACTTCACTTAGCATAATACTCTAGATCCATCCATGTTGTTGCATGTGGCAAGATTTCATTCTTTTCTGTGGCTGAGTAATATTCCACTGTATATATACACACCACATCTTCTTTATCCATTCATTTATTGATGGACACTTGCAAGCTCACTCAGTTTTAAGGGGAGAGGACATAGACCCCACAGTTGGGAGGAGTGATGTGAGACAGTCCATCTTTGAAAATACAGTTCACTACAGTATACCAGAGGTGAATAAAACCTCCCTCATCTCCTTGAGGAATTGGGTGGCAGATCTGTGAACAAATAGGATTTCACTCTTATGCGTAAGAATTTATCTCTATACTTACAAAGAGTTTAGGAAAAGAAAGTTGGTATTAATAGCTTACATCTTTGGGACTTACCTACTTCACCAGCCACTGAGCCCTTTGCATTATCCTTTCCTTCTCACAGTAACCCTGGGGTAGAGTCTGTTATTTTTCCCTTTTTACAGATGAGGAATAGGAGCTTTGAAGCTGATTAACTTGTACAAAGAAAGTTGCAGAGGTAGAAAATGGCAGAGCTGGGATTCAATTCAGATTCTGATAGTAAAGTTAATGTTTGTCATTATAACAAGCAACTTTATGCATTAAACTGACTCCTTCTGTTGGGCTTAGAGGGATTTTGGTTTGGAAATGCACTGTAGCTCCAGGAAGCTTTTAAGATCAAAGGTAACTAGGTTGTGAAGCCCTGGTCTTTGGGACCTACCAAGTTTTGATGGTGATGGTGATGGTGATGATGATGATGATAGAATAGGAAGCAGAGGGGAGGGGATTATAGGAGGAAAGGAGCCTCACATTTAAGTTTGGAATGGAACGGGAGCTGGTCTGATAGGTGGTACCAATGAGTCTATATACTTGGTGTCAGGCAGCCATAGAAGTTTTTTCAAAAGAAAAGTGATGGTCTGGTTTCTTTTTTAGAAAAATTCTTTTGGGGCCTCAGTGGAAGACTGACTGAACCAAAGTAAAACTGGAAACAGGGAAATCAGTTCATTTCCTTTAGTATGAAAGAAGGGGAAATCTCTGTATAGTAATAATGAGACTTGAAAAAAACACTTTTGCTTTTTTTTTTTTAAGTAGTAGTTTGTCCAAAATAAACAGTTGGCCTTGTTCTTTATTATAGTTTTCCATTTTTAAAATTCTTTTTATGGGGCGGGGAGGAGCCAATTAGCACACCTTTTTTGAGCCCTTGCCGTGTCAGGCACATTTATGTTAATAAGTCTCTTTTCATTAGGAAGATGAAAGTACTGTAACAATAGTGATTACTAATACTTACTGTGGCTTTTTCTTAAGTATCACTTTTTTTTCAGTATTGCTTTTATTGGTGACTCGGGAGTTTCAAATAGAATGATGAGTCATCTGTGATTCTTGTTTCTCAGCTAGGGAAGAGATGTAAGTTATTTAGTTTGTAAATGTTAAAGAAATGCTGAGGAGAATTGCCTTCTAAAATGGTTGATAGATTTCAGTGGTTAATGTATACTATCACTGATGGTCACTTATACTTTGTGCTTTAAGGACTTAATGAAATCTTAATTTAAATCTGCAGATTAACCCTTCCTGGAAGGGTTGTGGAAAATGGAAACGAACAAGGATCCTATGATACAGATAAAGGTATTGCTTTTGGAATTTTGTTAGTTTTTTCTTTGGATTCTTCATGTTAGAATAACTATGTCATAATCCTTCAAGATATGATGGCGACCTTTAGATGTTTTGCAGATACAGTCTGTCCTGGTCACACTTTATTGTTTCTTAACAAGCCCAGTGCCTATAATTCATGGATTTCTTAACAGGTACAATTTTCTCAGTCCTTTAAAGTACTTCACAGTATTCTTAAAAGTTACTTAAATACTCTGTTTCTTAAGTTTATTTTCTACTTCCCCTATTTTATTTTTCTTAAGTATTTTATTTGTTTATTTGTCAAAAAGAGAGAGAGCACAAGCAGGAGGAGGGGCAGAGGGAGAAGCAGGCTCCCCACTGAGCAGGGAGCTGGATGCAGGGCTTGATCCCAGGACCCTGAGATCATGACCCGAGCTGAAGGCAGAGGCTTAACAGACTGAGCCCCCCAGGCGCCCCATTCCACTACTTTTAGTA